CTTGCGATGGTTCGGTCAGATGGAGTATAACTTTTCAAGGAACACGCAAGCGCAGTAGGGTCCACCCTCAAAATGAGCCTCCTGCCAAAGATATAGTTCCAGAAGGTCCTTAGGCAATGCAGCACCGCCAAGGTCTCCTTCTTAAATTGGGAGTAATTCCTCTCAATCGTATTGAGGGTACGACTTTCAAACCTTAACGGCCTCTCCTTCCCATCCGCATCCGCCTGAATCAGGACCCCTCCTAAGGCAGTTGGTCTGGCGTCCGTCTCGATAACGAATGGCTTTTCCTCCGTGGCCTCATAATTCGGCGCTCCCAGCACCAAGCCTCCTTCCTTGAATTCTCTCTTCATCCTTTCCACAACCTTTTCCTGGTCTTCGCCCCAGACCCACTCCTGATCCTGACGGACCAGCTTCCTCAACTGCTCCGTCTTGGTGGCGAAGTCCTTCACAAAACTCCTCCAAAACCCGCAGGTCCCAAGGAAGCTCCTCACGTCCGTTATTGACTGACCACTTTAGGATCTTGTCCGTTTTCTTCACATCTGGCCTCCGCCCCTTCTCATTGCAAACAAAGCCCAGAATCGTGGCCTCCCTCATACAATGCTTCGACTTGGGGCCTCTCGCCGTCAGGTTGTGTTCTTCCAACAGACCCAGAATCTGATCGATATCCTGGATGTGCTTCCAGACGAACCGCCTCACTCCTGGCATCACTTCGTCCTCCTCCTCCTTTGTGCCTTAACTGCCAAATCATCAATGTCGGGCTGGGTAATATGTGGACTAACCGTCTGCATGGCCCTAATCATGTGCCTTTGCACCATCGCCACCGCATTAGTCCACCCCTAAGGGGCCACATTCATGTGGATCAGCCCCCTTGGCGTATACATCGCCGTTACCGGCCTATCCAGCGGGTACACAGGAAACTGGTCATACCCAGTATAGAGGTCTATAAGTGAGATTATAGGTCTCCCTGCGCATGACTCTGACAGAGCGTCCACGTTCGGCAATCCTCCCGCGTCTCGCACCGTCACTGCATTCAATCGTTGCAAATCTTGCACCCACCGTAGCGTTTCGTTTGGCTTAATAAAACAAAACCAGGGGGAGGCATACGGTCCACTGGAATAGTCTGCCACATAAGTCTGCATCTTCCCGTCCAGGTAGTCCACCACCTTCTTCTCTTCATCGGGATTTGGGTATCGCGCAACCCTCAGGTTCCATGGCTCGTGTGGGACGGTATGGATCCGAATCATTGGGATCTTATCCACGTCCAACCTCCCAGGCTCGTCATCGTTAAACGTATACGCGCAATACCTCCTCTTCATGGTCTCCACCATCAAGGTCCTCTCCTCGGGCGAAAGGAAGCCAGGCTCGCCAATTATCAGCCCTTTCTCATTCTCATCATTAATACGGCACGGCCCTGCCTGCGCACGCTCCCGCATTCGTCTGATGAGTCCCCGCTCCCGCTCGTAATAGGCCTCTTCATGCTCTGTAACAAGCACGGGGACTGGGCGACACTTCTTATCTATAGTCTTGTACCGCCTTTGAGAACCCTGCTTAAGCCCTCCCCTAAAAAAGGCCGACTTGTCGTTCGGGCCTGCGCCATCGCAGGGTCCCCTTTCCTTCCGGGAAGCCTATAGATTAGCTCCACTTCTCCCACCTGAGGGCTCTCCAAGACCTACTCCCTCAATGCCTTTATGGCTTCAGGGTCCGCCATATCATGCGCCACCACCACCTCCATTGCCTTATTCACATCATTAAGGCTCAGGGACAATACCTCGCCCGCTCCTTCCTCCTCCTGCTCCTTCCGGAGTCTCCGTCGCGCATACTCAGACTCCTCGAAGGTAAAGGAGCCGAGGTTGAGCCTGTTCCTCCCACTTCCGGGCCCTGTGTTCCGACACTTGATGATTTCGTAATTCCCGCAAGCCGGATCGGACAGAGCCAGGATCATCGTCCCCTCATGCCTGTTGAAGACCAAGGTCTTCGTTTGGCAGAGGAACGACCTCCCTAGAAGGATAGGGTGGTCGACATCGGGCATGACGAAGAAGCACATTCGCGCCCTTACCCTCCCGATCTCCACCATCACATTAGACGAGGTGCCGCAGAAAATGGCCTTGCAGTTGGCGCCGTGCAGCACACCATGGTCCGAATGATCCACCTCCAGCCCCATCATAGTCGCGTCCCGCTCCCGGATGATATTCATCTCCGCGCCCGTGTCCACCATTGCAATGCTCGGCTGGTCCCTCACCTTCAAGTCCACCAACCCGCACGCCACACATTTCCAATCCATCCTGGTGCCCGCCTCTATCCACTCTATCTCCCTGGGCAGAATTGAGCTCACGTGGACGTTGGGCACTAGCCTCCGCGAGAGCCGCCCCTTTAGCTCGCCACGGAGTCTAGGCGCCGACGCCAGGATGTCTTTTAAATTCATCAGATCATTGTGGCCTTCCAAGAGTTTGTCCACCATTCGCTCCACGTCAAAGCCCTCTTACAGCCAGACTGCGTACTTCTTCCATTTTGGCACACCATCGTGCAGGCTCGGCTCCGCTCCTCCCTGAATCCCTCTCTTCTTGGCCCTCTGCTCAGCTCGCCGATCTTCTTCCTGGCGAAGCCTCTCATCCTCTTCGTCATCACCCTCATCTTCCTCTTCTTGAACCTCTACCACTTCTTTCCTTCGTTCAGGCTCAGGCTCCTTTTGAGGAGACGCCCGACTAGGTGCCTGGCTGGGCCCTTGACTGGTGGTAGCCTTACTTTGGGCCCTAGTCTGCGCGGCCTGGGGCACCCTTCCATGTGACGTAGGGGGCCTGAAGGTCATCTCTGACCTAGGACCTGCCCCGGCCATCGCCACGCTTGGACACCCTTGCGGTCCTGATGATGACTCCGGGCCGGACCCATAGAGCATTACCTCAGGAAGATTCATTTCCCATTCCCGGGTCTCTTCGCACATCACCCTTTGCCGTTCCTTATACCTGCCAACCTGTGCTCCATCCTTTCCAGGATGGTCGAGGCTGACTCTCTCACCACCTCCTTTGCAGCCTCATTTGGTGCTGCTCCACCTGGTCCAGGCTCCCTTCTTCCACTCCCTTGTCAATGGTTGCCCAGGTGAGCCTCTCACTCCCTTCCCCATACTTGGTCAGCTCTGTGGCCTCCGAGCCCATAAGCAGCCTAAAAAATGTGGCGCACTGTGCCTCCTCAGAAATCCCGTGCACTTTCCTCGCCCTTTTCTTAAACTCGTGCACGAACGCCCCAATGGTAGAGAAGTCTTACTTGTTCATGGCCTCCAATTCGGCCATGGTCAACAGGCCGTCCCCCAGCCTGTACTTCCTTCGCATTAGATCCCCAAACTTTGTCCAACTGCCACCAGCGGCATCCACAACCTTAGTTACTTCCCGATGGTGACTATGCAGGACGTACCTCAGGACCCGCTGGAGCTTGACCTCATCTGACAGTCCCACTAGCGCCTGCTCTGTCAGATCCAACCAGTCAGATACCCGATCCCCTTTGAAGTGAAATGTCTCGACCTTTGGAACATTGCTCGGCGCCCTCTCGCGCTTGTCCAAGGCATCGATGAGGTCGTCGAGGGTCACAAGACTCCTCCCACCGTCCGCCATCTCCTCTGGCATTTTGGCCAACCGCCTTCGACTTCAATCTTCCCGTTACAAAAGACGATGGGACAAAGGACCTCACTCAGCGACTCAACCCTTCACGACCCTATCAGGTTGACCACTTAGACACCCCATACTCTACACCTGGCAGACACTCCTTTTCCTATTTCCCTTAGACTCACCTAGATAAGGTTTATCCTCACCATAGAACTTCCTCACTCACTTGCCCACAGTCGTATAGATCACCATACGGTTCATCTCATAGTCCTTCTCTTACTCACTCATATGCCTAGTTTCTCTCTTACTCCCATACCTGGATGTTGTTCCACCAGGGACAACGGTAGGCTTCCGTTATCCCCGGCAACGGCACCACCTGTCGAGCGCATCGGTCCAGCACCGCACGCGGCGGCGCGGGACCCTCTCGGCCGCGTCACGCAGGAGTTGGATCAACCTCAACATAACACGCCAATGGAGTTTCCTTAGGCCGCTCCGGCCGAGTTCGCCAGCCATACCTCTCGCGAGCCCCTACGACAGGATAGGGCCTAAGCGAGGCACGACTTACCTCCACCTTACGGGAGTTGTCACCTCCCATCGGTGGGCGTATCCCCGCCGAGCTACCAGTCCACGATACGAAAGCTGATCAGTTGCAATCGCAGAGGTGTACCAGCCGAGGGCGTTTCTCGTTCGCTGTAGCATAGGGGGTACGCGCGGTAACACGCCTATCGGTCCCGCACGCGAGCCGACATCCTGGGGGGCTGAAGTCCCAAGCACGGCTCGACGTCGGTCGACTAGGACGCATCCCACACACCACGCGCACACCACTCTACGAACAAAAAGAAAATAAAACATGCGCACACACGCACACGCACGTACAACGCGACACAGCACAAACAGCACCACACAACACGAGCAACGCGACAACGCTCCTAGCCCCCTGGTAGCCATCCCATAACTCTCCGATGCGGAAATCGGATAGGCGTCGCGCGTGAGACTTTGTATAAAGCCGCGCGGGCGCGGGGCTAACTCACATTGATTCGTAATGCAAGCGTACGAAAGCGGTCGCAATGATGGCGTATCATGTAGTACCCATACTCACGCGGTCCTCGTTAATCTCAAGGGTCGCGTTCGACACTCAAGTGTCRGCTGACACGTGCCTTGAGGGTTAATCTCTCGAYGCTGGACAACCGCCATGCGCGGTTGAAAACCACACACCCTCTTCTGCACTCTTATGCAGAGCGGGTGGTACACAGGCCCAAAGCCTGTGGTGGTAGTCGTCTCTCGCGGCCCTAGGGGTAAGTCCTCCCCGAGGCCTGTGCGAAAGTCAAGGGGTTTGACTTTGACGGCTGCCACGGACTACAACGTCCAACCATAAAAATCCCTAACGAGCAGACGGGGCAAACACGAAAGCAAGAAGAGGGGCTAGGGCAAAGCCCCCCCCCCCTTTTCCTTAAAAGGAATCGAGACCTTGGGTTACCCTCCCCCTCTACGGTTGGTGCCGGCGGCCTACAATAATCCAAGCGTTGCACCTACGTGCGAGCCCGGCGATCCCATAACTTTTAAACGCTGGGGCGGCGAGGTGCCGCACGCAGGGCTCTGATATAAAACTGCGCGGCCGCAGACCAATCCTACACCAACCACTGATGCCAATCATACATGGTAGCCGCGGCTCCGGCCTCACGATATTGAATGGCTGAAGGAACACATTGCGAGGGGTTACCCCTCACGATATTGAACGGCTGAAGGACGCGCCGTTCGGCCCTCGCGACATTTCCACCTTTCAGGTGAAGTGTCCCGCCGGCCAAAGTAAACAGGCTCTATATAAGGGGGGACTCCCCCCCTTCAGGGCTTGGGGCTTGGGATGTCCTGGACAAGGACCTTGAATCCCGGCCCAGGACCAACGTCCAACCAAAAAAGCCCCAAGACGAAAATAGGCAGAGGGGAGGGTCCTCCCTATCTTTCGATCCCAACTCTTACGCGGTGTTTAAAGTGGCCTCTTAGGCCTCTCGAACACTCATCGTACGTATACCCACGCATACACACAAAAGGGGGGTAGAGTTGTGACGATCACTTCTCACAAGCACAGTGGGGCTCCTCACAACCATGTATATATATATGGAGTCGCAAACAGTCCAAATCCAAAATCCGAATCACAGGACATACCTGCAATCACATCAAGAATCAAACGACAAGGCACGCACTACACGGAGTCAACCCCGACCTTTCTCTATGCTCATACCCCTTCGCTTTAGCCATACAAGCCCCAATCGCCGATCCGGCTAACCTCAATTAAATACTCTGTACCTTTGTTAAATGGCCATTCAATAAAAATCCGGGTGAAACCCTCAACAAATAGTAAAACCACCAGGGCTAAAGCCTTTTCGGTTGAGTATGGAGAGTGAGGTGGGATTGAGTCGAAGACCGACAAATCGGCAACTGACCTGTTATCAGTGACAACATGAGATACAAGGCTAAGTTTAAAATCTGAAACTATCTCTGACCTCCCAAAGCCCAATTTTGTCTAACTCCCCGAATTAGCAAAAATTTGGGCAGCACTCATTCTAGAAAAGGAAACTTTCCAGACTTTTACCAAGTAGGATATGACGAAAAGACAAGTTGAACTTTGATAAGTCAAAAATTATCTAACTCCTTGAATCTATAGAAATTTCTGCAGCGCTTCCCTTAGGAAAAGTAGCTTACCAGAATTTATACTGGTCCAAGTACAGTGACGAGCCTCAGAAAATGCAAAAATCGATCTAAGTAAAATAAAGTTAGCTCATAAAATGCAAAAATTGACCTAACTCCTATTGCTCTAGCACGTGGCGAGTCTCTAAAGCAACTACCTGTCAACCTGAAACCCAGACCAATTAGTAATCTCGCTTAGCCACATGCAGGCCAAACCACAAAGGTAAGTACTCTCACCATCCCCAAGCCAATCCGAGCAAACAATAGTTCATGATCTTTCAGTGAGTTATCCCCTCATACCCAACTTACATAAGGCATAGGTCAGGGCACCTGAACTTACAGAGCTCGCCCAACTTAGCCAGGCCCAAAGTCAGAATACCTAAACTTATAGACGTTCTGACCTGGCCAGGTATACATAAACAGAGGGCACAACTACTTTTCTCTTCTTTGGGCGTATGACTAGACCACTCTAGTCGCCCTGAACTGTTTAAATAGCCAACTTATGTATACCTCTCTGAACTTAGTCTTCAAAGGGACATAAGGTTGAGCCGCTCAACTTGGAACATTGCTCAGCCTGCCCACATTTACCTTCAGTTATATCTCTAAATTATACTTTCTTCAATTGTGATAAGCTATAGTCAGGCTACCTAAACTTATAGAGCGGCCTGGCTAGCCTGTTCATAATAGCATAGTAATACTGTATAGCCAAGTTATATCCATTGGGTTACAACATGTGCGAGGCATTGGGTCAGACCACCTAAACTTATAGAGCGGTCTGATCCTTAGCCAGGATTATTCCCTCAGAACGAAAACAGGAGAAGGGCCGAACCACCTAAACTTATAGAGCGGTTCGGACCTCCTCATTCAGAATCAAAGAAACTGAGAGAACTCCAAACAAAACGAGGCACCTATACTTATAGAGCGCCTTGGGTCCCTGAAAGTCACTCACAGTCAAACCCTCACAGGTCAGCGCAGCCAGGACACCTAAACTTATACAACCCATTTCATTCGCAATCTGCTTTCAGACAATCAACAACTGAAACTGAGCTTGCACATGCATTCTTTTACTTCAATCTGACTTATGTCCTGAAAGTCAAAGTCAAGACCAAGTATAGGATTCATGCAATACACTCAGTCAAACGTAGAGAGATGTACAGGTAGGGGTTATAGTTGGGTTTATAGAGGGAGTCAAGGGATTACCACTCAGTTCCCTGCCTCCAGGACTCCGCCTGAGTCCCGGCAAAGCTCCCGCAATCGGTGGGGCAACCTCCCACAAAGTTCTTGGCGTGGGTTACAGTTCACACGCCCGCCTGCCGCCTTCCTCTCAGGGCCAAGGGACCAGACTTAGAGGGGAGAGGCAGAAGAAGGGGGTTTAAGACTCTCAGATTCAGGGGGGGTTGCACTCAGACTCGCAGGAGAGGGCCTTCAAATCTTCAGCGCCTGAGGGCCCCACAATGGCAGCCAAAATTTTGCAACAGCTTGGTCAACTAGCAGACCACCCGCCGAAACCAGTTTCCTGACAAATCCCCTGGTCGCAGC